AAGCAAAAACGGAAGCTCCTGCAATCCTCAATGCTCTCTGGACTGTTCTCTTTTTCCACTACCCCTTTCTTACAACGGATACATTTTAGCAAAATGTACGGAGGTAGTAAAGGTGTTGGGTGAGAATTGAATAAAACATGGTGGGTCCTTGCACCACGTGAACCCTGACTCCAAGACCCCTTTTGTCTGTTAGTTTGGTGGTATAACTTAGCATCCCCTTGTGGAAAACATTTGCAAAAAATTACGTGTCCAAACAAAGATTTCAAATTAAAATTTGCACACTAAATTAAGCAAAACAAATTATGCAGTCCAAACGTATCCATTAGCTTTCGATGGACCAACTTTGATTTACCACAAGCTTGCTTCTTCCTTTCCTTTGCTGTGTTTTTCTGTTTGGTTTCCTTGTTGGTTCTTCCAAAGATATGCAATCATGTTTGGGTGCTGTTAATAATGATGGGTTGAAGTTTCTGTTGGGTTTTTGCTGATGAATCACGAAGTTTGCTTGAGTTCATGGCTGGTTTTTCGTGTGCTGAATAAGTTTTCGGGGTTGCTGCGGAAGAAAGGTTGCAAAAGATGCTTTCTTCGAAGCTTTGCATGACAATTTTCTGAAATTTTCCTTTTACCGCCTAACTTTTGCCTAATTTCATTATGGCCGAAAATCTAAAAAAATCAATTTTGCCCCTATTAAGTTTTAATCCTCTTTTTCATGTGTTAAGTACGTTTTTGGGCAGAATAATTCTAAGCTTTAGGGCATAAATAAAGCTTAATGATTTTTTTGATTTAATATTTTGGTTGGGTTTTGTGAGAAAGTGAGTTTTTGGGTTTAGGGTTATTTTGGTTGGGTATGGCAAGTGGATTTTAGTTTATTTTTATGGGTTCTGGTAATGGATTTTGGTTATTTTTTTGGTTGGGTTTGATATGGGCTTGAGATCTAAAGCCCATGATTTTTTAGTTGGGTTTTTTTTTGGTTAAAATGGCAGGTAAGCCTGCTTCTTTCCTTTGGGCTTTTTAATGGTCAGAGGGGTTTTAGCCCAAGACAAGAAATACAATGGCTCAATGGCTTTTTATCAAAAAACCTGATAATGTAATTGCATATTAGTTTCCTATATTTTTGAGTAATTATACTATAGCCCTACAAACTTTAGATTCTTTCAATTAGGTCCCTAATCTTTATTTTTTAATTTTGACCCCTAATCTTCATAATAATTGTAATTTGACCCCAATAATTTTCTTAATTTTTGCAATTATGTTCCTAACAGTTTTGATTTCTTAAATACAAGTTTTTTTCTTTTTTAATTGTTAATTATACTTCGTTTAAGCGCTTTAATTGGTAGATTTCATGATTATTTCCATTTCTTATAATTAAATTGGTACCTTGATCATTTTTGTTGATTTTGAAGTATAAGTAGGACAAATTTCACCCCCATTTAGCTACGACTTCAAGGGAGGTAATCCTTCTTATTATTTTAAATCTCTTATGTGTTCCTATGTATTTTTTTATGTGTAATTGCATGTTTTGAGTGCTTTTTTCCTTTAACTACCCATTTTATTCATTTGAACTTTTATTTATTTTATTTAATTTTTGATGACTATTTGAGAGGCATTTAAATGCCGTTTTGTAATAGATAGATATTCAAGACATGTATTTAATTAGCCTATGTAATAGATAGGTTTTAATTTTTAATAAAATATATTTAGTTAGATAAATGTAATAGTTATGTTATTATTTTTAAATTCCCCCTTTAGATTGTAGTTAGGACCCCAAATGTAATAGTTAGACCGTTATGTGCGTTTTTTGCTTGTGTGCTTGCATGCCTATGTGTTTATATATTTATTCATTTTTTTTAGGATTTTTGCATTTAGATTTCATGCCTACGTGTTATGTGATCTATGTGTTTTATATGTTTACTTACTTTAATTATGTTTTATGTGATTTATTTAATTATAATAAATGCATGATATCACCACACTAGTCTAACGCTAGTTGTGGCCATTCCCCCGATTCTTCACTAGTCCAACGCTAGTGAAGACTTGTAGAAATGGGTTAGTCCAATACTAGACCTTTTAGCCCGTCTCGTGATAGAATCACATTTTTGCGTGGCATTCATCGCATTTCATACATATTTTTCATTTTTAGGGTCTTTTCTCATCTTGCATGATATTTTCTCTATATATTATCTCCCTTAACCCTATATGTGCGAAACATGACATTTAGACTTGCCTTCCATTTAGAAAATTAGAAATAAGTTAATTCATTTGCTTGATTAGATTAGGGGAATCGCCCTTCAAATGTGGGAAATTGACGAGTATGGTTTCTTAGCTTAGCACGCTCGTATCTCTTCTATTAAAAAAAAAAATTGAGTCACGAATCTTAGTCCCCCGTACTCGTTATGTTGCATCCTTTAGGTCACGTATATTTATTATAATTCTTCTTTTTTTTCGAGTTTCATCTTTGCATATTCGTGACCTCTTGTAAGGATCATTTTGGGCATCATAATTAATGTGATTTGAACCAATTAAATTTTGAAAAGATATTTCGACCCTCTCGATATTCATTAGGTTTAGATTTACATCCATGTAGTAACATCCAAAATGTGATAAGTTTTATAGGTTAAATTAAGAAAATTTTCGACTAAATCATGCAATAACTTTGGTTAGGTTAAAAGGGTGCCTTAAATCAAATCTTTGCCTTCTCTTTTTTCAAACCGTGGCTCCCGAACTCTTTTCTCGTGTTTTCAAAGATCTGGAGTTGTCTAAAAAGGGTTTTACCTATTTTTATTAAAAATATATTTTTAGGTGATTTGATACACCTTAACTCAATACCAAGTGGCGACTTCTATTTTTCTAAAAACCCTTTTTGGACTATTATTTTGGGCCAAAACCGTCGCACTTTTAAGTCCCATTTTAGGCCCTTTTTCTTTATTTATTCTCTAAAAATCAAAAACTCATTTTTCAAAATAAAAAATCCATTATTCTAGCACCTAAATACTATAGATTTTATTTTTATTTTTTCAAAAAAAGGGGCGTGACAATGCCTACCACCTATTTGAAAAAAAAATGCCAAAATGAGAAATCAAATTAAATGGGGTTGTTTCTTGTTCATTTAAAGTCATAGTTGTAGTGTAGAAATCGCAAGCAATGTTTTGGTATAACTTTTATAATGGATTAAAAATAAAAAATCTCCCTATGGTATAGCTATCATACAGAAAAGTCCCTTGTGATTTCATATCATACAAATCGGTACCCCTGGTTTGAAGTAAAGTGAATTTTTGATAGAAATCGTCAAATGTAACACGTTTGTATTAAACGCGCTGGAAGGGCGCGTGTTTCTTTCGAAAAATAATTTTGTAACACAAACTTTCACCAGAAATACCTATTGTGCCCTTCACACCTTAATAAAAAGCCATGTTATGGGACTTCGGCCAAAATTGCAGGAAACAGCATTTGCAAGCGGGCAAAGCATTTGCAGGAAACAAAATTGTACTTCTTCAACCTGAGGTTCCAAGCTGCCAAAGGTAAAACTTTAACCATTTGCAATTTGTACATACAATATATTCTTATAGGGTCTATTATAAGGATTTAAAGTAAAAATGTGAACTCTCTATATTTTTTTGTGTAAATATTGAAGGGAAATTAAGGAACCATACCACGATGTCTTCCTCAAGCTCTTGGCCAACCAGTGCGGGAAACGAAGCTAGAGGTTTTCGATACCAGTACAAGATGTGTAATTGTCGAAGGAAGACGAAGGTAAAAATTGTTGAGTCGGAAAATCCATCGAAGGGAATGTTATATTTTGTGTGTGAAAAAGATGAATGTGGATTCTTTTCATGGTGTAATCTAATTTACAGAGATGAGCTAGATCGAGATAACTATATTGTGAGCCAACTTGTTCAAGAACATTCATATTTGGATGGCGTGTTCTCTAAACTAGAAAATTTGGACAATGAGATGTAGAACTTGAAATTGCTAGTTGGAGGTTGTGTGAGGACCCACAAAATTTCCTTCTTTTATATTATTTTATTTTAATTCTTCGAATGCATTTTCATTACTTTATTTTCTTATAAGTATTTTTCAGAGACTTTTATAAGTAAGTACAGTATAAAAATCATTTTTCTAGTATAAGTTCGTTTATGTGACATTAGTAGTGTATATTGGATGTGGGACCCACTAGTGCGTTAAGTACGATATATTTTGACGAATGAGTGAACGTTGCATAAAGGGATATTATTTTTACAAGGTGTTAGGAGATAATTAGAGGCTAGATAGATAAAATGAATCATTGGTAGACAAAAGGATGAGAATGAACTTTAAAGAGCCAAGTGTCACTACACTATTGGAGGGTGGACTTTGACCAAGCTTATTTAACTTTCATAAACTCCAATTTTGACCCAATTTTCTTCCAATCTAAGCTTCCCTTGGCCGGCCCTCTTGAGGAGAAAAACAAGAGAGAGAGCTTTCACCTTGTCTTTCAATTTCTTGCTCAAATCTTGAATTCTAACCATTAGTTTTGTAAATCACTCCATAAAAGTACTAGTCAAGGTAGTTTCCAAAGTAGTTGTGGAGTAAATTTGGGAGGAAGAAGCCTAAGCTACCATCTTTCTTGAGATTTCAAGGTATCTTGCTTAAAAATCTCTCTTTATTCTTACTAATGACAAATTATTGGCTTGTAGTTGTTGAATATGTTGTTTTGTGGAGGATTTCATGGTTTGAGGTAGGGTTATAGTAAATTTCAGATTTATTGGTGATTTTTCTGCCCTTATATGATGATTAATGGTTGGCTATGATCTATTAGCTTTGACATGTGAGAAATCTAGTGTTTAAGTGCTAGGTTATTTTACCTAAAGAAATTTCCAGCTTGTGTTTGAAAATTTCAGATTTAGGGTTTCTAATTTGGCTTTGTTTGTGGTTGGTTTTGGAGCTCTCATTTGGTGAGATATGAAAGGTATTGTGGCCCTAATTATGGGTGTTTGATAGCTTGTGAATTATGGATGCAATTGTGGATGAATCGAGAGCACCGTAAACTTCTTCCTTGACGTTCGATAATCCCTTTATCTACAAGGATTGTTAACAAAAAAAGTTTTAAGTGGTTCAATTCTGGCTTCGGCTGAAAAAAAAAAAAGGAAATCACAAGCCATAACACAAGAAGCATTCTGGTGACTTTGCGAAACCATGAAGGGAACCTCATGAGAGCTGAGGAACATTCTAGACTATAAAGATTTCATTTAATTCGAGCACAAAGATACATCATATCTTCCAGTTTGATATACTATCCTGTCGATAAAATAGTCTTTTCCTTTCTCCAATACTGAATTACAGTATAAGTCATTTAGTTTCAGTAAGTCCCTAGAAGAAATCAAGAATGTGTGATTAATTACATAGGTAAACTTGGAATATCATAGAACCAATACCAATTATCTAAGATAGAATTCCCTAAAATTTAATTTCAGCCTATTCCAAGACAGAAGCATTAGGAATTTTCCAGTCAAAATGTATGGAACTTTATATTCACGCTCAAAACTGTCCTAGCTGGACTAGCATCGAAGTTCCATGCATTGCGCACAGAACAAGACTCCAGATAATGGTTTTCCTTTCAATATGTATTAAAAACTTCTTTCTGTTTTCCGGTCAGCCTCAAAATGGAATGGCTAGCTCAGGTATGAAAATTATAGTTTCTGAAGCTGTTAAAAATCTTAGTCATAGCTATCATATTTTTGACAAAAAAAAAAAGGTAAACCATTAGCTTCTTCCATATGCAACAGTCCAACAAAACTCAAAAGTGGTATGCAATAAAAGAGTACCTAAATCACATTCTAGAGAGGCAAAGAGAACTTACACATTCAACAAGTTTTATAGACTTGGAGATAGTCCCTATTTTCCTTCTGGTTTTCCAAACTCTGGGATACCTTGGTCGAGGACCTTTAACAGCACATACCTGAGGTATATTAAACTGTATTAAGCAGAAGACAGAAAAATACAAAGTTCTCACAATGACAAAAACTAGAATCAACTCATCTACCATCATAACCTTTTTCACTTGCAAGTTTCAGTTTGATCATTGTCTCTGTACATATTCCAGCCAAATTATAATTAAATTTCCAAAAGCGATGCAGATGATGTTGACTGACATGTGCCTATATATAATCTGAATAAAGACATACGAGACGCCAGTTTTGTCTAATGCGATAGATAGATATATACTTATATTTTTTATGATCATGAGAGGGAACATTATGAGTCAGGTGTACCATACAGTTGACCACTACCACACAAAGGTTGTAGCTTACTAGAACAGTATCCAACAACAAACATATTTTGCCATGTACAAGGCTACGCTATAGGATAGCTTATGAGAAAAGATAAATAAGAGATTATAGATCATTAGTTTAATAACAGCTTTTAAGCTTTAAATTCAGCAAACTCATCAAGAGAAGTGCCATATGATATCAAACAGGTGATGTATATAAATCCCCAATCTGAGAAATTGAAATTAACTTATAATGCTTGTAAAGATCGACTGAATTAATATCTTGGGCCCTTCTGAACCAAAATTTTAATTATTCCTTGAGTAAAAATCTTATTAAGGTCCATAAGTATTTATCTGCAAGTTAATGATATCCAGGTCAGTTTCATCTGAGCAGTAACATATTGTGCCATGGAGATAAGGTTCCAAACAAAATATGGAAGAAAGAAGTGTTCCATTAGGATACTAAAAATCTACAGCTTTGACTAAAATCATATAACATTTTATGCAACAAACAAGTTCTGAATTACCCGTTAGTGACAGAGTAACACCTAAGATTTTGGTCACAGTAGGGGAGAACAAAGAAAGACAGGTCCATCTAGTATTTTGCAAATAATCTGTCAGACTGCGAACATTAACGACCATCTGAGTTATGACTCAATCGAGTCAACTTCTTACTCACCCTACAAACCATATTCCTAGGATAAGCAGGTAACTATAGTGGATAACTTTATTCCAATTGTGAAGTAGGAAAACCATATGAATCAATCTCTGTCAATAATTTGAAGTTCCTTGAATATACAAAAGCAGGAAAATTAATCATTGAGCCAATTCTAACACCTGACCAAATAATGAAGCAAAGAAATACTGCAGTTGTCAATAAATAAGTCCTACTGTTAGCATTATGGAAAAGGTCCTAATACAGTGCTTGAAAACATCTAGATAGAAATCTTAAACTGTTGAAAGTCAGATACTTAAAAGCACTGTCCTATATAGTACTATACATTATCCAGAATGTCACAGACAACTGACACCTAGAAAACTACTAAACCCAATAAAGAGTAATAAATATGTACTGCAGGGAATGGAGAAACTTACCACAACATTTTTATTCATGCGGTGAAATTGAACCGGTTCCCACCATTTAGTAAAACTAACCGGAGTAAACCTCAAACAAAGCATTCTGAGAGAACACCCATAGCAGATTAGTATGAAAAGCCCATCATCCAATAATCATCATAATAAGAACTCTGAATGCAACCTATTAAAGTTTCCTTCTTTTTTTAACAGTTGCAATCTTCACATTATTTGAAAGCAGATAAATTTAATAAAAGAGAAAAACTAAGAAGAGTTAGAGAATATTTCTCTGCTTTAGAGGGTCTGGGAAACGCAAGGAGGGTCCCAAACAAGACCTTCAGTTCTGCGATAAAATGCCTTTTTCTATCAAATTAAACCAAACCAGCTGTTTTTTTATTTTTATTTTTTTTTACTCCTCTGTTTCCCTTCAATTTCTGAGACCAAAAAACAAGGTCAATTCGCTTTAGGACTATTTTGCAACACTGAACTAGCATAAAAAATGGACAAAGGAGGCACAAGAAAGACTCTGAGTCTTCACTTTCTCTCTCTCTTTTCAGCCAGCAGCATCAGAAGTTGTTTACGTGCTTAATCAAGCTTCTGACTTGCAAAGCAACCTTATCTGTTCTTTTTTTTTTTTTTGAGGATGTAACATTAAAACAATAGGGGGGAGTTCTAAATCTATGGCACAATAGGAAAGTTAGATAGTAGATAGTTAAGAAGCAAGAATGGCTACTATTAGGTACACGCCGAATTCAGCAACCGTGATGTACTGAAGCCATTTTACCATACCATATGAACAATTGTCTTTTGACTTCAATATTCAGATAAAATTGAAGAAAAATCAAAAAAAAAAAAACCAACAATATTTTACACCAAAATGAAGAAATAAAATATCCCTTTTTCCTTCATGTCAAGAAAATGGGATTGAAGGCAGGTTGTTGGACTAACATGAGTCAGGCAGAGAGGTGCAATGGAAGCAGCCACATATTTGGTATAAGTCAAGAAATTACAGAAAATGATAGAAGTAATAAAAAGGGGGAAGATGAAGCTCACTTGAGTTAACCACCTGCCGGAATTCTGGGCAAAATAAAGGTGGTGGACCCTTGCCGGTGGGGCTGGTATGGTGGTGGCGGCACTGAAAGATGTAAAGAGAGTCACAGCAGAAAAAATTTTCAGAAAAGATGTGATTTGAGGCAGTTGGCACAAGCACGACAAAGCACAAATGGCAAAAGCACAGCAAAGCGCATATGGTGGTGGCGGGACAGAAAGACAGAGAGAGAAGGGCAAAATATGCATTTTAATCTTTGTTTTCCTATTTTTTTAATCATTTTGTCATCTTAAAATTCATAATTGAGGTAATAATTTATTTCACATAACCCCTAAACTTATCGCTGCGTTTGGATTAGCTGTTTTTGGGAGTGTTTTACCAAAACACCACTATTCATTTTTTGGAAAACAGTGAATAGGTGCGTTTGGGTTGTCAATTTATGGCACTGGAAAGATTTCACTAAAGTTGGAAGAGAACTGACGGGAAATGTACAGCTTGTGTGGCCGATGGAAGGCTTAGTTCAATATTTTACTAATTCAAAAGAAGAAGTTCTTGTCAAAAGTCAGAAGAAATATGATAATGTAATTCACATTATCATACTACCCTGATTTAGATTGGTTGCCAAAACCAATCTGTCTAATACATAATCGCACAGAAAATTAGTTTTCATTCTAAGTCACGCACAGAAATTTTACGCATAGAACTGATTCTGAATCACATTCAGAATCGGAGACCGCTTATTCAGAAAAGCACAGTACCTATAACCAACCCGATTTCCTGTCTTTTCATGAGCCAATGACTATCAATATATGCTAGCAATGCAAGGATCCAGATTAATGCAGGAAACTTTACCAAAGATAAAAGCAGGCCACGAATACAGCATTAATAACAGGAATCCCTTTAACTTACATGGGCTTCACTCTAACTTACATACCAAAAAAGTAAGCAATTCATTCAAGTTCGTCAGTACAAGCCACCAGATAAAAGTCAGAGTTAACCCAATAAAGGCCACAAACGCTATCTTTGTCTAATTAACAAAGAAATTTGCGGGCCTTAAACGTCAGACAAAGCATCTCGAAATTAGCTTTGGAGAGAGTTGAAGCACCACCAAGCAGACGAAATCAACCCACTTCAGCCCCTCAAAATTACTGGCCATAAAAATTTCACTCTATATCTAGCCAAATAGGGACCGTAATTAACCTCATACAATTAGTCAAAATACAACCTGCTCAATTATTACAATTAGCCACTTCGGACAGCAAAATGTACGCACAATCCGTTCGATTATTACTCATTCCTGCTCGAAATATAACGTATGGGTTGGCAATAATTCTCACGTGGAACTGGCAAGACAAAAAATAGCCATGTTCATTCTGAAGCTTCCCCACCGCAAAACTTCAACACTCCCACCCTTTAAACCTCACATAATCAGCTGAGAATACGGTAGATTAAGCAGGGAAATCAGCAGTAACATACCTTATTCGACTCGCACAGTGAAGAGGCTAGAACTGTCGCGCGTTGCCGGAGCTGAAAATTGGCTGCGATTTAGTGCGTCGATCGTAGGAAACGACGTAGTATCGCGACGTAAATATACTCGATCTTCGTCACTTGTTAACAGATCCGGAGCATTTTGCAGACTTCCGAGCTTACTCTGGTGCTACACTTTTCTGCTGCGTTCACATTTTTCGAAGGGTTTGGGAAAGTAGTTTAGGGTTGAAACTCTCCGAACGAATGTGTGGCTAAAAACTCTCTTTTGGGCACTACGTAAAAACGACGCATGTAGACTTAAATGTAGTAGACCTACAACATTTGGTGTTTTTGAAGGACAAAAACAGTTTACTAAAAAATTGACAACCCAAACGCACCCATTCACTGTTTTCCAAAAAATGAATAGTGGTGTTTTGGTAAAACACTCCCAAAAACAGCTAATCCAAACGCAGCGATAAGTTTAGGGGTTATGTGAAATAAATTATTACCTCAATTATGAATTTTAAGATGACAAAATAATTAAATAAATAGAAAAACAAAGATTAAAATGCATATTTTGCCCTTCTCTCTCTGTCTTTCTGTCCCGCCACCACCATATGCGCTTTGCTGTGCTTTTGCCATTTGTGCTTTGTCGTGCTTTTGCCAACTGCCTCAAATCACATCTTTTCTGAAAATTTTTTCTGCTGTGACTCTCTTTATATCTTTCAGTGCCGCCACCACCATACCAGCCCCACCGGCAAGGGTCCACCACCTTTATTTTGCCCAGAATTCCGGCAGGTGGTTAACTCATGTGAGCTTCATCTTCCCCCTTTTTATTACTTCTATCATTTTCTGTAATTTCTTGACTTATACCAAATATGTGGCTGCTTCCATTGCACCTCTCTGCCTGACTCGTGTTAGTCCAACAACCTGCCTTCAACCCCATTTTCTTGACATGAAGGAAAAAGGGATATTTTATTTCTTCATTTTGGTGTAAAATATTGTTGGTTTTTTTTTTTTTGATTTTTCTTCAATTTTATCTGAATATTGAAGTCAAAAGACAATTGTTCATATGGTATGGTAAAATGGCTTCAGTACATCACGGTTGCTGAATTCGGCGTGTACCTAATAGTAGCCATTCTTGCTTCTTAACTATCTACTATCTAACTTTCCTATTGTGCCATAGATTTAGAACTCCCCCCTATTGTTTTAATGTTACATCCTCCAAAAAAAAAAAAACAGATAAGGTTGCTTTGCAAGTCAGAAGCTTGATTAAGCACGTAAACAACTTCTGATGCTGCTGGCTGAAAAGAGAGAGAGAAAGTGAAGACTCAGAGTCTTTCTTGTGCCTCCTTTGTCCATTTTTTATGCTAGTCCAGTGTTGCAAAATAGTCCTAAAGCGAATTGACCTTGTTTTTTGGTCTCAGAAATTGAAGGGAAACAGGGGAGTAAAAAAAAATAAATATAAAAAAACAGCTGGTTTGATTTAATTTGATAGAAAAAGGCATTTTATCGCAGAACTGAAGGTCTTGTTTGGGACCCTCCTTGCGTTTCCCAGACCCTCTAAAGCAGAGAAATATTCTCTAACTCTTCTTAGTTTTTCTCTTTTATTAAATTTATCTGCTTTCAAATAATGTGAAGATTGCAACTGTTAAAAAAAGAAGGAAACTTTAATAGGTTGCATTCAGAGTTCTTATTATGATGATTATTGGATGATGGGCTTTTCATACTAATCTGCTATGGGTGTTCTCTCAGAATGCTTTGTTTGAGGTTTACTCCGGTTAGTTTCACTAAATGGTGGGAACCGGTTCAATTTCACCGCATGAATAAAAATGTTGTGGTAAGTTTCTCCATTCCCTGCAGTACATATTTATTACTCTTTATTGGGTTTAGTAGTTTTCTAGGTGTCAGTTGTCTGTGACATTCTGGATAATGTATAGTACTATATAGGACAGTGCTTTTAAGTATCTGACTTTCAACAGTTTAAGATTTCTATCTAGATGTTTTCAAGCACTGTATTAGGACCTTTTCCATAATGCTAACAGTAGGACTTATTTATTGACAACTGCAGTATTTCTTTGCTTCATTATTTGGTCAGGTGTTAGAATTGGCTCAATGATTAATTTTCCTGCTTTTGTATATTCAAGGAACTTCAAATTATTGACAGAGATTGATTCATATGGTTTTCCTACTTCACAATTGGAATAAAGTTATCCACTATAGTTACCTGCTTATCCTAGGAATATGGTTTGTAGGGTGAGTAAGAAGTTGACTCGATTGAGTCATAACTCAGATGGTCGTTAATGTTCGCAGTCTGACAGATTATTTGCAAAATACTAGATGGACCTGTCTTTCTTTGTTCTCCCCTACTGTGACCAAAATCTTAGGTGTTACTCTGTCACTAACGGGTAATTCAGAACTTGTTTGTTGCATAAAATGTTATATGATTTTAGTCAAAGCTGTAGATTTTTAGTATCCTAATGGAACACTTCTTTCTTCCATATTTTGTTTGGAACCTTATCTCCATGGCACAATATGTTACTGCTCAGATGAAACTGACCTGGATATCATTAACTTGCAGATAAATACTTATGGACCTTAATAAGATTTTTACTCAAGGAATAATTAAAATTTTGGTTCAGAAGGGCCCAAGATATTAATTCAATCGATCTTTACAAGCATTGTAAGTTAATTTCAATTTCTCAGATTGGGGATTTATATACATCACCTGTTTGATATCATATGGCACTTCTCTTGATGAGTTTGCTAAATTTAAAGCTTAAAAGCTGTTATTAAACTAATGATCTATAATCTCTTATTTATCTTTTCTCATAAGCTATCCTATAGCGTAGCCTTGTACATGGCAAAATATGTTTGTTGTTGGATACTGTTCTAGTAAGCTACAACCTTTGTGTGGTAGTGGTCAACTGTATGGTACACCTGACTCATAATGTTCCCTCTCATGATCATAAAAAATATAAGTATATATCTATCTATCGCATTAGACAAAACTGGCGCCTCGTATGTCTTTATTCAGATTATACATAGGCACATGTCAGTCAACATCATCTGCATCGCTTTTGGAAATTTAATTATAATTTGGCTAGAATATGTACAGAGACAATGATCAAACTGAAACTTGCAAGTGAAAAAGGTTATGATGGTAGATGAGTTGATTCTAGTTTTTGTCATTGTGAGAACTTTGTATTTTTCTGTCTTCTGCTTAATACAGTTTAATATACCTCAGGTATGTGCTGCTAAAGGTCCTCGACCAAGGTATCCCAGAGTTTGGAAAACCAGAAGGAAAATAGGGACTATCTCAAAGTCTATAAAACTTGTTGAATGTGTAAGTTCTCTTTGCCTCTCTAGAATGTGATTTAGGTACTCTTTTATTGCATACCACTTTTGAGTTTTGTTGGACTGTTGCATCCCAGATAAAAGCAGGCCACGAATACAGCATTAATAACAGGAATCCCTTTAACTTACATGGGCTTCACTCTAACTTACATACCAAAAAAGTAAGCAATTCATTCAAGTTCGTCAGTACAAGCAACCAGATAAAAGTCAGAGTTAACCCAATAAAGGCCACAAAAGCTATCTTTGTCTAATTAACCAAGAAATTTGCGGGCCTTAAACGTCAGACAAAGCATCTCGAAATTAGCTTTTGGAGAGAGTTGAAGCACCACCAAGCAGACAAAATCAACCCACTTCAGCCCCTCAAAATTACTGGCCATAAAAATTTCACTCTATATCTAGCCAATAAGGACCGTAATTAACCCCATACAATTAGTCAAAATATAACCTGCTCAATTATTACAATTAGCCACTTCGGACAGCAAAATGTACGCACAATCCGTTCGATTATTACTCCATTCCTGCTCGAAATATAACGTATGGGTTGGCAATAATTCTCACGTGGAACTAGCAAGACAAAAAATAGCCATGTTCATTCTGAAGCTTCCCCACTACAAAACTTCAACACTCCCACCCTTTAAACCTCACATAATCAGCTGAGAATATGGTAGATTAAGCAGGGAAATCAGCAGCAACATACCTTATTCGACTCGCACAGCGAAGAGGCTAGAACTGTCACGCGTTGCGGGAGCTGAAGACTGGTTGCGATTTAGTGCGTCGATCGTAGGAAACGACGTAGTATCGCGGCGTAAATTAACTCGATCTTCGTCACTTGTTAACAAATCCGGAGCATTTTGCAGCCTTCTGAGCTTACTCTGGTGCTACACTTTTCTGCTGCGTTCACACTTTTCGACGGGTTTGAGAAAGTAGTTTAGGGTTGAAACTGTCCGAACGAATGGGTGGCTAAAAACTCTCTTTTGGGCACTACGTAAAAACGACACAGTTTTAGTAAAATTTAACTGTAGACTTAAATGTAGTAGACCTACAACATTTGGTGTTTTTGAAGGACAAAAACAGTTTACTAAAAATTGACAACCCAAACGCACCCTATGGGTTATTCAAAAATTTAGCACTAGTGGAATTTATCCATTCCAAGGTCCGGCATATGATATTGGCCCAGCGTGGCATAAGGTATATATCCACTATGGGATAATCGTCTCTCTCGGAAGTATACTTAATATTGCATTTAAGAGTACGGACTAGGGATGTAATCGAGCCAAGTCGAGCTCGAGTATCGCTATACTCGAGCTCGACTCGACTCATACAAACAGAAGCTCGACTCGAAGAATTTCCTTTAGGCTCGAGACTCGACTCAATAAAGCTCGATCTTTAATCGAGCCTTATCAAGTCGAGTCTTATCAAGCTTTTTGACTCGATTTGACCAAAAAACCAGATCAAAGGTGACGTTTTGGGAAGATTCAAAGGCAAGCAAGTAGCTATCAGCTGGAGTAAACGAGGCATAAAATCCATGATTCATCAATACAAATACAACCAAAAGTATCCACATTCTACCTCCCACAGTTAGCATCTTTAACACCCCTAAAAATCAGATTCACCACAAAGAAGAATAGAGAAGAAAAAAGGGAAATTCCCACTTGCTGGATTGCTTGACATGAAACTTTCAAATTCAGCAATTACCCACCAACGGTAGGTGCCCACAAGAGCAGAAAATATGGATGATTCTAATTCCTCGGATCATAGTTCCTAAGTGTGCTGCAAAAGTACCCAAACTAACCAAAATTCCCCACAAAATTTCAAAACTCAGCAAAACATGAGCTGAGCCACCAAATTGAGAGACAAACAATTATCTCAAACAGCCACAATATCCCAACTACCACAAGCTCAATTCAGAAACCAATGCCAAGATCTATCCAGAAATTCCTTTTCCCCACAAATATCACTAATTACTAACTAAAGAAAGCTGCTTTAAACAAGAACATGTCAGAAAAATATGTTCCTGGTTCAGAAAAAAAATCATGTTGAAGTTAGAAAAATGGTCTCTCATATTTTTCATTCAGTACGTTATGACCAGGCTAAACTAGGAAATCCCATCCCAAAATGTCCAGTTTTAAACCAAAAGTACAAGGTTTAATGTTACCGCAGGACAGATGGTTCAAGTGGAGTAAATCCAAGAGCAGGAGACTCTTTGTTCTGGTGGACATATACAACATGCCTAGCCATTTCAAGATCAGCATCCATCTCACTGTTGTGTTAACACTCACAACTATCAAAGCAAAAATAATCAATGCTCTTAACTTTAAGCAGCGTGGTTTGCATGGTTTACGGCATAAGCTATGCTACCATGCTCCTTCGTTCACAAGTGTGCCTTTTTGACTTTAAAAGAAAAAAAAGAAAAAAAATGCCACCACCATAGGAAGAACAGAATGAATGAATCTTTCTAACGGGTAAAAGGTGGAATTTTTCCCCAAGGCCTTAACTTTTAAAGGCTGCACAACTGGAGAGAGCTTCTTGTGTATAAAATACAAAGCTTATGTTATATCACACCTAATCTAAACTACTACAACAGTTAGAGTTTGCAATTGGAAGCTCAGATTTCGTCCCCTTATCAATTCAGGATAACAAGTTTCCTAGTCGATCTTGGCCCATTTTAATGCCAGAGACACAGAGCCAAAAACAGAGGAGCACTTACCTAAGTGAGCCAGAGATGAGCAGTGATGAACCAGCGATGAACTAGTGAGATCTTGGTGCTTCGTCTTCGACACTCGGCAGCGATGAACCAGCACGGCAGGACACAGCCGACAGGAGACGTAGAGCGCGGCGGACTGGCGGAGGCCGGAGAGGCAGAGAGCAGCTTCGATTTGGGACTTGGGACTTGGGACTTGTTAAGGCGATGGCGATGGCGATGGCGATGGCGATGGAGTCTCACATATGCGGCGAGCAACGGCGTCGGCGACGAACGGAGTGAGGGTGTAGATCTAAATCAGTCACAGTCAGTGGCTGCCGGCTGGTAAAGTGAATTTTTTTGCTAGGCTTTCTTCGAACAGAGAAGAAAGTCGAACAGAGAAGGAAGAAAGTCTTTTCTTCCTTTTTTTTAGACATTTTTTCTTTTTAGTGTTTTTTACAATTATGTTATTACTTTTTTGCCATTATAGGATTTTATTATAAAGAAGGGTATATTGTAAATTCCATATAACTTATACCCATAATGGTCATTTTATAATTATAATAAATATATATTATTTAAATTATAAATATTTTATTTAAATAACTCCGGCTCGTCGAGTAAATAAAATTATAAATATTTTATTTAAATAACTCCGGCTCGTCGAGCTACTCGACGAGCCACGAGCTCGGAAAATGCGACTCGAAACTCGACTCGATTTGTAGTCGAGCTACTCGAAACTCGACTCAAACTCGGGTTGACCGAGTTCGAGTCGAGTTGTTGACCGAGCTACTCGCGAGTAGCTCGGCTCACAAACATCCCTAGTACGGACTACGGGCATATATCCACCGGGCATCAGCCCCAATTGCCTTGCATAATGGTTATTATAGATCATAGCTTCTCTTGTAGTAATTATCTACCCATTATTGTTTGATCAAGTGACAATAAGTTTGATATCTGTGGGACCTGAGTAGGAATGGCATCGGGGCGCGGGGTGGGACATGGAATTTTTAGCAAAATTACTTGAACAAGCATGCTAAAAATAATTTTAAATTAGTTAATTGGATTTAGTGGATATCTACGTGTGTGTGTATGTGTGTAAAAATAGTTATTTTAATCACAGTATTTCTCACTCCTACGTGGCATGTTTAATTGAAAAGAATTAACGGGTTACGGGTCATTTGGATTTTACCCATACTAATTCGATTTGGATTATATTATGTGTTTAAAAATTATCTCTAATTTTAAAATAACTTTAAAAACCAACAATCTTAACTAATCTTATCTTAATGATTGCTGTTTTCCATCAAATTATTACAATGATTATATTATATGTTTAAAATTTATCTTTAATTTTAAAATAACTTTAAAAAATAACTAATCTTATCTTAATGATATCTACTTTTTGTCAAATTATTACATACAAGTATAGTAAAACCTTTGATGGATCTGCATTTATGGATGATAAATCATCAAGGGTCGGTGTTATTATCCGAGATGATAAAGGAAGTTTCATTGCTGGACTTTCCAAAAAAATTCTCGGGATATTGGAGCCAAATGTAGTTGAACCATATGCGGCCAAACATGCTCTTCAATTACTACATGATTTCAGTTTCAATAAGATTGTTTTGGAAGGAGATTCACAAAAGGTCATTAAAATGCCGGACCATTTGGAATTTGATGATTCATCATGTGGTTTGTTGATTCATGATGCCATTATCTTATGTCAAAATTTCATGTGTTGGGAAGGTTCATGAATTCCTAGATCTTTTAATATTCCTACTCACAACCTTGCCAAATAAGCTGTTAATCTTTTAGATTGTATATATGGAAAAACTCTCCTCCACCTTTTATTAGTTCTGCACTTGTTGCAGATTTGATCTCATGATTAATAATATTATTCTATTTATTATAAAAAAAAAAGTATAGTAAAACCTTTTTAAATCACAATTATTGAAACCTTACATCCCAAAAAATTACTTTCTTGCACCACCATAATCTTATTTCTACCAAATTATTACATAGAAGTATAGTAAAACCTTTCTAAATCACAATTATTGAAATCTTACATATCCCATAAATTACTTCATTTCATCACTATATCATTGATTAGTATTCAAATTGCTCATCATCTTTTCTCTTAATTTTGAATTAATTTAGTGTAAAAAAAGAATTAACTGTTACATTGATAGATTTATCAATATTATTGAAAACTAAATATTTATTGACAAAGAAAAATGGATTGCTAGATCTTTTTATGAATACATAGTTCTAGGTTTATGGTCATTATAAAAATTTAAATTATCTAAAAGAACATTTATTAAAAAAAAAGAATATCTACCAAGTTTTTGATATGTGGTATATTATTTGATGTATACTATCATATTATAGTAAAAGCATGTAAACAAATTTTTAAAAATTAGTAAATAATTGAACATTTAATATACATTAATTTTAAAATTTTTTAAAATTAATATGAATGAATAGGTCAAATTATTGTTAATTTTTATATTTAAATTATTGGTATTTGTATAAATTCACAATGAATAAAAAATTTTTAAAAATTAGTAAATAATTGTACATTTAAATTACAGTAATTTTTTAAAATTAATATGAATGAACATGTAGAAATGTTGTTAATTTTTATATTTAAATTATTTATATTTGTATAAATTCACAATAAATAAATAAAAAAGTCCGTGCTAAGGCATGGGCAAAATCCTACTTGTTGGGTAACCCATTTTATATCCATATGTAAAAACTTAATATACCCATATCCAACTATTCATGGACAAGTATAGGTAAAATTAGCTAAATGGATTTATTTGCCACCTATAAAGTACATGTAATGCCTTCTTGCTAGTGGTACCAGCACCAACACGAGGTAATCAAGAGTAGGGGTATAAACGAGTCGAATTTTGGCCAAGCAGAGCCGAGTCTCAATTTAGTTTTATGAAACTCGAATTCGAACTCTCAATGTAAAGTTCCAGTTAAAAAGAACAAAAAAAATAATTATTTTATTTTTAAAAAAATAAATAAAATATTAATGTTTTAACAAATAATAAAATATTAAGAATATATATATAATTTTACTATTAAAAATAAAAATACAAAATAAACATATATAATCGAGCAGGCTCGCAAACTAATGAGTCAGGTATTTTTTTTTATCTCGAATTCGACTTGATTAGCTTAAACTCGAGTTGGATCTCGATGTTGATCGAATTTGACTCGAACTCGGAGTCAAACTGCTTGTGAGAGACTCAATTGGTTTGTAGCTCTAAATTCAAGAGCAATCAAATAGAACTTCTAAGGTTGAAACCAAGGCCATAAATATTGTTCATTTACAACCACAACCAAACTAAACACTAACTAAAATTCAGTTACATAGGGTATTGACAAGTAGAAATTAACCTATATTTTTGTATATATCTCTTATAGAGATGGGGAACGGCGCGATGAATGGGGTGGAGATACCTTATTCCACCATGATTTTTTTTCATGAAAATAGGTACTCTTTGTCGCTTTTTATCATGTATCAACTTTATAATCTTTCTATAATTTCTGTCTTCTAATAAAAAAATTCTGTCTCTCTGTCTTTTGATAAATTTGAGATTTAAATTGCTATATTAACTTTACTAGAGGTCTTTCCTCCAAAAAAAAAAAAAAAAGAACCTTTACTAGAGGTCTAAACTTCTCCTTCAAAAAGTAACGCATTCATAACGATATACTCTAAAGATGTATTCCTGGGTGAGACAAAATTGTCAATCTCGTTTTAATACAAGTCCGGAATATCGCATACCAAATTCCCTTGAACTTGAGAAACGGCCTGTTAACGCAACATTTTGACTTGGGATTTAATATCGCAAATCATCTGTTCATCCCCATTATAATTGAATCAGACAATTTGCTAAAGAAAATGTGTTCCAATGGCAAATAGCAGCAATTATTATCGGCTTAAAATGATTTTTTTTTTTTTTGCGCCGAGCAATGATAACATGGTAGCTTTTCAATATTTTTAATGAGACCAACAAGAAATATTACAAGACATCAAGCTATACATTTTAAGCATTGGGATCACATATGCACAAGCCACTGTACAAGAAGAGCCACAGCAAGTTTTGAGCTGCAGAAACAATACACACACATTAACTTTTGCTTTTGACCTTAAAACTGCATTCGCAAATTTGAGTTCTGACTCCCAACTCAAACAGCAAATCCCCAGCTTTTGTTTCCATCAGGGAAGCGACTCCAAAACTTTATCACTTTCTCTGAATAGTTCATGTTCGTCATCCTGTGCAAACACAACAATATTTTTTCACAGTTGAGGATCTGAGATGTGTCTTAAGGCGTGGAATTCACCGAGATCTCCTGAGGCATGGGTTGGCTTGGCTGATCTATGTGCGAAGGGATGACAAGCCGCTGCAATGGTTTCAATGCCACTGTGAGTTGACTAAATGAAGGGCGCAGATTTGGGTCCCTGGTAAAAGAAAATGGCATAGAACAGGCAAGACTGATTAGTTGAGGAAAAACTGACAAAATGAAAGAGAAAAATGCATCGCTGTAGTCATATTGTGCAACTTACGTTTGCCAACATTCCCAAATTATTCTAGCTACTAATGGATCAACTTCCTTTGGTATATCAAGACGGCGATTTTGAAAGCCTACAGCACCCACAACCTGCATTGGATTCATCCCATTCCAAGGTAGTCTGAGGGTTGCTAATTCCCACAAAATGATGCCAAAACTATAAACATCACACCTGCACAGAAATCCACAAACCTCTTAGTGCAAAGCTCCCTGCCCTAAATACCAAAAAGCACAAAAGACACTGGATAAAGCTCCCTGATTAACCCATATCCATTTTGTGCCCTGTGTTGGAGATGGTAATATCCAAAATTTCAAAGAATGGTGCTAAACTGCTAAAGCAATGTCTGTTCAAATTTCTTGCAGTTTCATCAACCTTTATTCAAGAATGAAAAGGGCAAAAAAAAAAAAAAAGGATTTGTGATGACCCTTGTTTACATTTAAGTAATGAATACAAACAATTATTGCCAGAAACTAGAAACCACCAGTGTCACTTCATACATCATAATCAGGACAAATGCGACTTTGCACTTCTAATGCTTTTACCAATTTCCAGTTTGCACCTGGAACTTCTATATGGGCATAATGCACTCTAAAGTTATCAAAATTTCCAAATAATCCTGCCAATTACTTATAATGTTAAATTTAAAATATACGCAAACACATCATGTGTGTGTCCCAAAATTGTTGACTACATATGTTCAAAACATGATATGGTCACTTTATGAAGCATGATGTACAAACACATAAGCAATTGGGCTAATTTGGGACAATTTAGAAAGACTAAGGTAAAAAATGTCCACAACAAGAGTTTGGGAG